CCGGGTTCCGCTCTGATATAGCAACCCCGACCCTCGATCAGGCTGAGGCTAGAGGTAAGAACAAAGTGGGAACAGATGCTGATCCCGTTGAACAACTGCTGTGGGCAGTCGAGGCTTTGAAAGCCAGGGGGATGAATAAGCAACAAGTACTCACAGTCATGGCTAAGACTGTGGATGATGCTTTCCCCACTCTAACCGAAGGCAGTTCAAGCCAGGCGAAAAATCGAGATAGGCCCCGTCATACCAAAGCAGTTCCTTCCACTCCCAACCGTGCACCGAAAAAAGATCTGAAAGCCAAGGTAGTGCCTGCCGACCCTTTCGCTAGTGTGTCTAGCAAGAACCCTCAGACTTTGAAGTATCTGCCTCGAGGGCGCAGAGTCTTTCATGCCCTCTACATGCCTTTGTCTAGGGCATTTCAAATTTTTGGCTAAAAAGGGGCATCTTAAACCCCTCGAGCCTCAACCTCTCCCGAATAATCTTCCTCTCACACATGATGCTGCCTTGTACTGTTCGTACCACTAGCAAACCGGTCACAGCACCGATGGTTGTTTCCGCCTTCGCCACGAAGTGCAAGATTTGATCGATAATGAGGTCATCCTCCCACCCACCTCAGCAAAGTCTGTCACCGCTGAATTGTTGGATTTCGAGGATACTGCAAGTATGTGATCAGGGGTTGGACCACCTACAGGCGGCGCTCGGTGTATTTCAGATGTGGCGTTTGGCACGCACTGTTGGGAGCATTTGCGAATGCAGTTTTGTAATTTCTGGCTTGGGTGTCGAGTTAGTTCTTTGTTTTGTTTTGGGTCTGTCTCATTGTCTTGAGTCAGTCTTTTTGCTTAAGGGTCTGTCTTGTTGTGTCGAGTCAGTCCCATTGTATAGAATGTCAGGCAATTCCGAGGTTGTTGCCTCGAACACCGTTTTGTTTTGTAATTACCCTTTTGTTCTCTTTTGAGTTTGTCTCTGCTGTAGAGCTAGTTGCAACCAGGAAATCTGAATGAAACAGCTGCGGCTATCAAGTTTTTCGTGCTTATTGCTACTTTGAGCTAGTTGTGCCAGAGCATTTGAATGAAACGGCAGAGCATCTCACTTACTCTCCTGCACCTCGAATTCATTGCATTGACCTAAGTTTTTCAAAACTTTTTTAACATTGTGGTGATGAAAACGAGGAGGAAAGAATTCCTCGGGATTTGCAAAACTTTGATCAAATTGAGAGAAAGAGAGGCGTGCTAAGCCCTTAATGATTTCAATCATGTTTGTTAACGTGAGTACTGAGAAGGACCCTGGCTTGATCCAGATTGGTTCCGTACTATCTTCAGTGCGAGCGATTTTTTTCTTTCTTAAAATTTCTTCAAAAACAAAATGTTTTGCGCAGTCCTGCGAAGACCTGTGTGGAATCACTCTTGAGATTGTGCAGCTTAGGATCGCTCTCAGCCTTAAGACTTGAGCCCTTGCTTTCAAACCTTGGACCTTAGTTCCGAATGTTCAACGGTCAACTA